TGAAGTGGACCTTGATTATTCCTAATTTCTTCCAGATATGTCTCATCATCACCAATCTTAAAATATTGTCCCCTTTGTTTATAAATTTTACTATAATTATACGGAATGAAGAAAATGAAAAAAAATGAGATATATAAAACATGTAATACAAAAATATAAAAACCGAAACAATTAGAAAACTCCGTAATTTACAATGTTTTTGGTTTGTTGGGTTCTAGTAATTCTAGCGGTTCATAAGATTCCCTTCCTCATCAAGATGAAATATTTTTATTTCATTCGGCCGAGATCCTGGGTTAGCTATATAAAAAATTATATTGATTAACTACGACTTTATTAACAAAACTAATAAAAGAATTTACCATATTTAATTGAAACATATCCATCCATTGCAGACATTTTTCGAAAAAATATATACGAGAAAAAAAAACGTTATTTATATCCCACCTTACAAGTTAAAACTAGCTTATTTTATACTCTCATTCTATTAGATCTGAAAAAACCTACTAAGATAAATTACAGGCTTAGTAATTACCTTACCCTAACACAAAGCTGGATCCCACCATGTAAAGCAACTCCGTTCGGTCATAAGTTCCAAACACTGAACGCGTTTGCCTTTTTTCTGGTAAAATCAACCCCCCTTAGATTCGACAATCGCTTAAGGTGGGTTTAGATCTGACGATCTCGGAGATGGCGGAGATTTCAAGTTCCCGCAACATATGAATTTGGACCAAACTACTGATTAAGAACATTATACGTATTACCCTTATAACCTTTTTAGACACGAAGTGTCCTGCTTCGCAGAGTCCCATTCTTATCGCGGGATCTTATATAATAAGAAAATGGTTATAATTCATAATATTCAAAAAATCGACCGTGAGAATTAATTCTGCAGATAAGTGATACAAACCACATACCTAATTTTGTGTGACGAACCTTAATTTTTGTGTTCTGGCTAGGTAAGACTATAAACTCTGCACTGATCCCGTGGCGACGATCGTAATTCAAACTTCCCACCAAAAATTTTTCGGTATTAAGATTCTTAAAAGTTCGTTAATATTAGGGTTAGCGTTTATATTGTGGTTAAATGTTAGCATAATATATAGTAAAATCGTCCAAAGAAAACTTTTTGTTAGAGCACCAAGGGTGGTTTCTTATACAGATTTTTGAGTTATTGGCGTTTTTAGACAAAATAAACGTTTGTTTTGAATTATCTGATCGTGTTACATTAGTATTACGTTATGCCTGATCTTGAAATATGATTGGTTGCAGTCATGCTTCGAAAAAGGATTACTAAGCTCGTTTTTACCGCATGTAAAACTTATTTAGAGGCAAATCCAGAGCCCCAAACTAATAATACGATTACCCCCATATGCACAACATCTAATATAATTTTATAGAAAGGTGTAATGAAATATCTTCATATTTGTCATAGACCAGGCATATGCCGGCTCACAGAGATGCAAAGCACCGTTTTACTTTTTACATATCAGCTTTCTCAATTTTTCATATAAATCCAAACTAAATTTTCCTTTAATTTCTCTCTCCCTTTTCTAAAAACAGTGGTTACTTACTTTGACGCTTCATAATCAATTGCAAAAGTGTTTACTAATCTTCTTGAGCAGGATATCAGCTCTGAGGTTACTTTGACCCTAATGGCTCGTTGATTTGTATCGCTTTTAACCCACCCATTAGTAATAAAAAAAACATGCAAATGTTTAACCCCACTAATTCAAAGGCCTTGAAATGAAATTTGTATAGGAAGTTACGGCAAACTAAAAAGATGAAGTTTGAAAAACAGACCAACCTATTAATGGATAATGAAATCACCTTCAGCACTAATAATGATATCAATCATAATGATTGTGAAGGCGATGATAGTGACAAACAAAAAGAAATATTTTATAGCCCCCAAAAGATAGATCATTAGCGTGCAGTAGGCAATAAGTTTTTAGTATTGTAACAATAAAGTTCAGCTTGAAGAATAGGGTAGTCATCGCCTTTCAAGGCAGGTCTAGAGGCCGATTGAACCCTTCCTTAAAAAGCTCTACTTTATTTTAATTCAATTTTTTTTGAGTATAATTATTGTTTTTTTAAGCAAGGTGTATGTGAGAAAAGAAATATCATGAAGATTTCCCGTGGTTTAAAACCACTGAGCTATATTGCAAAGAATGATTTGATTGTATCCACCAAAAAATTTTGATATAGATTAATCAAAAATATGAACTCAGATTGTCAATTTTATTTTATTATAATTTAGCATAAAACTCAAGGAGAAATGTGCCTGTCTACAAAAGATCAATCACAAGAATATATATGCTCTTTTTGGGTATCTGAAGATTTTTTGGCTAAAGATCTTAAATCAATTAATAAATCTCAAATAACTAATGTTATAAGTCTCCAATTTACATTTATATAAAAGTTTTTAGAGAAGAGGATGCAACATCAAATTGTTAAAAAGTTGATTGATAGTAAGCTATTTTTTTTGAATACGGTAAAGCTTAACACTTATACCCTTAAACTTAGTGCTCTTTCTAATTTCTAGTTAGATATATTTTCGAATACTAGTCATAGTGAATTATACGAAAATAATGATAGTAATAAATTCTTATTTTTCCAAAAAATTTCTTCAGATTTTATATATATATTAGAATCTAACATTTTTAGCCTAGATAGTAATAATAAAAAAAATATACTTGATTTAGAAATAGATAGATGAGAAGAATTTGTATGTTGGGTGTATTTTTTTATAGAACCAAACTTCAAAAAAAAGTTTCGCCACCATTGCTATCGCTTATAGTATAAAATTAAGTATGTATATCTAAGTGCAAGAGATCAAAATAAAACCCTTAAGCATAATATTCATAAAATATCACTATAAAACCTGCAGCATAAACTTAATATCACAAAGGATATAACGAAGAGAGTTATATATAAAATCGATTTTAAAGATTATCACCACATCTTTAAACCATAATGTTTTAAGAATATATTCGGAGAGAGTATGGTCAATTTTTTCGCACTCTCAGATCTTATAGTTGCAAAAAAGTCTTTTAAGATAGTAGATCAATATTACACTCACACTCTTGCCCATCTCTCTTACCAATCTAAGCAGTTCTCTAAATATCTAATAAAATATTTTGGTGATTTTACTGGTAGCAATATTGAATACTATACTATGGCTAATACCACCTCTAGCTATTGCCTGGAGCGTGAAGGGTACATCCATAAGCTAATCAAGAGTCTGCATCTACTTTCTAATATGATCAACAACTATATTTATAACACTTATCCAACCTTATATGCTAAGATAGAAAAGCTCAATCTTGGGCCCAACGTTTCAAAATCTTTTGGAGCTTTTTTCACAGTTGCTATCAACTTTAATGCTATTTCTCAATTTCATAGAGACTTGAAAGACTATCGTAATACACTATAGGTAGTTTGCCCCCTTGGTAAATTTAAAGGTGCAGAATTAATATTTTCTGAACTAGAGTTGGTTGTTCATGCCAAGCAAGATCATGGGGTTGCTTTTCATTCTAATATCTTAATCTACAAGAACCTCCCGATCATTGCTGAAAATCGACATAGTATCATTTTTTATATATATAATACTGTCATCAAACAAAAGCAGATGTTTGGTTCTCTTTTTGCTGATTACAAGTTGGATAGAAATGGTAATAAGGATGATAGTGAAGGTGAGTAGGTGCCAAAATATCTCTTCTCTAAATTAGGTACTCAAATAAAATTAAAAAATAATCAATGGAGTCATATTGGTAAGTTCAATAGTTTTATAGAATTCATAATAAAATAACTTTATATTTGCCAAAAACAAGCAAAGCTAATATATGTTCTTATTAAAGATTTGAAGCCAGCAAGGCAAAGATTTTTAGCAAAATATAAAAGATAAATGAAAAACAATAAAGTTTTGCTTACATTTCGAACTTGTGTATATGCTTGTGTATTGTGTAAATTGTATATAATTTTTTTATATTTCATGTCTTGTATTTATTTCATTTCTAATCAACTATATCAACTGGTGTGAGTAGAATATCTTTATATAAGAATCTTATATATTACTGAACCTTTAATATAAGTTATTTCGAATGCACAAAAAATGAATCCTGATATTCTATAGTATATTGTACCAAATCTAATAGGTCAAAAACACTAAAATCGCTAAATATATTATTCTCCATAATCAATAAATATATCTAGTTTTGATATTTCAACCATTCTCGATAAAAAAGATCGAACACTATCCAAACCCTTTAACATTTGTCCTGGATATAAGATGAAATATGTTGTGTTATATATTGAAAATTATTTTGCTTTTAATAAAAAATGATATGATGAATTCTTTGATAATGAAAGATCAGTTAATACTTTATCTATCATAAAACAAAATAAAACACCCTTTCAATAGAGCTTATAGGTAAGAATACCATTACAAGATTTATTAAATTCTGGAAAATTTGGTTTCTATTACTGACTATATTTATTCATATCATTCGGTAAAGGTAAATTTGTTAATTTTGATTATTACAGATCACAAATTTATAAAAGTTATACGGCTATTTGTTTTGGTTGCTAGAAACTCATAAAAATTGATGATATACAACCAAAGAAAAAATTTCATTTTACTAGAAATAGGTATATTTATTATCTTGAACCTAAAGACCTGATGCAGGAATATTGAAAAACTGAATGCTCAAAAACTCGGGATGGATATACTAGAAAGATTCAAAATGCTTGGAGACGATTCAAAGAAAGAAACTCATCAAATATACAGCTTGTCTGGCTAAGTTTACCAAATGATAATATTCTAGAAGATGAGAAATTTCTAGATTTAACTTCTCGTAAAGTGAAAAATCTTCAAACTCAAGATCAGTTTAATCAATAGAATACTAAGAAAATTGTAATGTATAGAAGATGTAATTCTAATATGGTCAGCTATTTTATTAATAATAAATATGAAAAATATTATATTCCATATGATTGGATAGGTAGAAAGAAAATCCAATTACAGGTTAGATTTCAAAAGTGTCTTTTAACACTTAAAATATAAATAAATCAATTACTTAATTATACTATTTATTCGATTTATTAATATAACATTTTTTGTATAGAGTAGTTGTTCACCATTTTTCTAATGCTATTTTTGAGATCACAATTGGATAGTGCATGAAGTGAAATAAAAATCTATAAAGTGCATACTATAATACTATAAACTTTTTATTTTTGCAAAGCAAGACACTTACGTGGCTGATTTTTTAGCCTTTTCAGATTCAGAAGTCGTGGGCTCCACAGGTAATGCATTTTTTATTTTGTGCTTTTGACGTAACTCTATCTCTTTCTGCAAATCTAGTGGAGTATCAAATCTTAACCGGATTGCAAATAAA